GAGGCTGTTAAGGAACTTACATTAAGGTACCATAAATTTTTTTGTACATAGATATATATATATATGGTAATTAATATGGCTTCCCCAATATTGCAACTTAATTTAAATCCCTTAAGAGCAACCCAGAACAGCAGCCCCTCAAGCCCCTCCTGCCTGACAACTGCAGGAGGCGCGTACAACTTGGCGTGTTGAAGTCAGTGATAATCCCTAAGGGTCCAAGTAAAGGGGATATATAGGGGCATATGATTTGTATGTATAGGGTTTAGGGTCTAGGGCCCTAAGGGTCCAAGTACCTAATAATTAGGTACTTGGGTATTGGGTAATTGTATGTAGTACAGGTTTTGGGTAAGTATAGGATTCTTGCGTACTTGGACCCTTGAGGAATTCTCTTTTGAGATGCCTTCTGTTTTGCGTTCGAAGTTTCCATTATCCCTATATAAGCCCCATATGACACCATATAACCCTGTAATACAGTAGCTTCCATTTTCTTTTCCATTATCCCTATGTAACCCCCCAAAAGAGATGCCAGCTGTGTGTTGGAAGTTGACAGCCATGCCCAAACCCTATATCACCCTAAGTAGTAGCCTTCCATTTTCTTTTCCATTAACCCTGTATAACCCCTATATATACCCTGTATAACTTATAACCCATTATAGTAGTTTCCATTTTCTGTTACATTATCCCTATATAACCCCAATATACTACAAACCCATTATCCCTGACATGCCCCGAAAAAAATGTTAAATGCAAGCTCCAGCTGCTGCATAGCAGTTTACAACGAACAAGTCGGAGGCCAATTATACAGGGGTCATATTTGGATAACGAAAATACCCTAAACCCTAAACCCCTAAACCCCTACACCCTAAAACCCTAAAACCCTAAAACCCTAAACCCTAAACCCTTAAACCCTATTTAGGGTTTAGGGCCCTAGAGCAGCCCTCCTAGACCCCAGTAACAAGCCTGTAATCCCATATCCCGCTCCTTCCCTGCTAACTACAAGATGACCCAAGGCCCAAACCGGCATTTACATTGGGTCCTGTCCCCACACATTAACAGTCTATGTATGATAGGGGTCATAATTAAGGGCTTCATATAACTATGATATAATTATTATCCAGCTGTTAATGAATGGGGGGGCAGTGGTTTACACAACATAACGGGCTTGCCTTGGACAGGCCAACAAGGCGATTCAGCTTCTCCATCAACTTGTCCACCTCCCACACATAAGGGGCTTTAGGGTTTAGGGTTTAGGGTTTGGGGTTTAGGGTTTAGGGTTGGGGTTTCGAAGATTAAAGGCCGTTTCTGGGAGTTCTCGTCATCAGGACAGTCGTATATTGAGGTCCATATCGGGCTCCCCTTTTTACAATAGGAAACCCCCGCATCACGGCAGTTCCGCAGAAAGTGAAGACAACAACTGAACACAAGGTGGGTTTCTGCCAGACGCTGACTTCATTTGAGAATGGACCGGACAAGAGCCACAGTGCAGCAGAACCCTAAGAGCAGCCAATGAAAACACGCAGTCAGGCAAAATGAAGTAGTTTCCTGGCAATGTGATCCAACACATGCATGAATCGGAGCTTAGATCTGAAGTTTTTGGAAGGGTCCCCTGACTTGATGAAGCACTCAACACGAAGCTCCCCCTATCTGCCCCTAAAGTCGAATAATCAATTGCTTCACAGGGATGCTGCATAAAACTAACCCATGGTCTTGAGAAATCCAGGTTCCTCAGATTGCCCACCTTCTCGTTAGCACCTCCTGGCACGGTCACCTGGACCGGGGCTGGAGAGTTTTGTCGCTATAGCAGTAGCCAGCGAAGGTGACAAGGATATTCAACATGAGCACCATCGTCCATATACAAACGCCGCACAACAGTGTGTGTGACTGCTGCTGCTGCTGCTGCTGCTGCTGCTGCTGCTGCTGCTGCTGCTGCTGCTGCTACGCGAGCGCACCTCCCACCAGGACCACCGCTTCCTGGACAGCCGCCGCCAACACCTCCACCCGCACAGCGGTTGCCAAAAGCGCCGCTGGTACTGACGTCATCACCCCAAGCGCCGCTGCCGCAAAAACGTCCACCAAGATGCTGCTGGGTCATGCCAGTGATTACTCACTGCGGGATATGTACTACCACTGCTATCACCACCAGAAGCCCACCACCGACAAGATGAGCGCCACCATTACTTTAAAACCAACTCAATTTCTACTGCAAAGGCGGAGTACTCATGGCAATGCTTGGGATAGTCATGGGAAGAACATGCAGGCTTCAGTCCCAATAACTATTCAGAAAAGAAACACAGCTGTCACCAAGTAGCGAAGGCTGTTGGGCATAAATGCAGGTAATGTAGGCAACTCCTTGAGGACTTCATCGTTCTCTGTGAGCTTGACTACGGAGAGGTCGGGATAATCAGGATGTCAATGCTGCCACGAACTTTACACTATGTATGAGGCTGGGCATCCCCCGTTGTCAGCGAATATCAGCAGCGGGTCATGCACACATCCTGCTACTTACTGGTTTTTAGTAGGAAGTAACTACGGGAATGTATTCCCTATATCCCCTTTATATTATGTATTCCCATATTCCCTAAAGTAGACCCATGATTAATAAACCACCTCCTTTTAAGGGCCTTAAGATGAGAATCCCTATTATAATCCCTATTAATGGGAGGGGTTTATTCATCACTGGTAGCCCTAAACCCTAAACCCTAAACACTAAACCCAATAAAACCCTAAACCCAAGCCCCAGTATGGTTAAACTCGGCTTCTAGATGCTTGAAGCCGTGGCGTAGCCGGAGCAGGGCTTGCTGCTTGCGAGGCCTCCTCCAAATCCTGCTTGACGCTGACCTGCCTGCCAAAAGACAATGCTCCCTGGTGCTAGGGTCTAGGGGTTTAGGGTCTAGGGGTTTAGCGTCTAGGGTCTAGGGTTTAGGGTCTAGGGTTTAGGGTTTAGG